GACAAAGACTAGAAAAATAGCATTCATTAAAAAGAAACATGAGATTGGAAATAGTAATAAAATATTTTAATTACAAAATTATAACATAATTGTTCTATTATTTCATAAGTAAGACTGTTACAGTCTAAGCCTGAATTAAATGATGAAAAAGAAGTTAGATGACATTATAAATGTTGCATGTTGATTAGATTTTTTATTTCTCAAGCATCAATTATGAGAACATCGCATATTCAGAAGCGAATAATAATTACACTGTTCTATTGCTTATAAAATATACCTAAGTGTTTTAATACTTCGATGGTTTAAGCATCAATAATTAATTATTTAATACTTATTGAATTTGATATTAATTTAATATCAAATACACAATATAAATTAAAAAAATAATATTGTAATTACTTAATTGCAATCGAATATTTAATATATATTATTAGAAAATTTAACTAAAAAGAATGTCATTTTATTCAAAGAATTGTAAAAAACATTATTGAGTAACGTTTTTATTGCAAAACGTAAGGATCTCTTTACCCTTTACATATTTCTTTATATATATCATTCATTCAAAATAAAAGTATCGATAAGTTAGATTGAAAATACCAGTAGTATGCATACATACTCACATACAGATAAACACACACACACGCACGCACGCACACAATTTTAGAACATTTTTAGATTTTATAAATAAATTAATAAATATATATTATATATCTACAAGATATTTTATAAAAATATTTTATTTCTATGAGATTAATAATATTATTATTATAAAATTATAATTATATTTATAATATTTTGAAAAAATTTCTAATGACAAATAGTCTTGATAAATAGTTCTGATGTGCTGTTTCTTAGATTTAAATTTTATAATTACTTAGTATACATATTATGTTGGTAGATTGGTACAAAAAAAAAGCACGAAAATATTTATACATTGTTATTCACTACAAGATTAAATAATTAAAAAAGTAAAAACTCTAATATTCTACAATCTTTTAAAATACTTCCAACTTTTTGAATAGCAGTATTAACATTTTCATGTACAGCTCTCATTCATTTTGTGTATTATTCATAATGCGGCATTAATAGTTAAGCTCAAAGAAGAGTTAATTGGAATGTATAAAAAAATAAAAAATAATTACCAATCATTTTTTTAATATGTATGTCAGTATAATTAATTCTTAAGAACGTAATTTCCATAAAAAAAATCTTTAGATTAATATAGTATTATTTTAATTTTTTCTATGATTCATGATTATTGTTACTTTTGAATAGATCAGATTATTATTATTAATATTTCAATAAACAATGAGTGATTTCAACAACTAATAATAATACTAAGTAATCATGAATCTACATTTTGAATATTCCACAATTTAATCTTAGACTTAATCATTCTTTTAATTATTTAAAATTAGTGTGGTTAGTTAAATTTTTTTTTATGAGTCAAGTATTATTAAGTTGCTAAATATATTTGAAATGTGTTTTGTATTTTAAATAAGTATTATAAAATTCTATGTTTTAAACTTACACATATCTTTTAATATATTATCTTGTATTTAATTGATCTGTAACTACGTAAGCATAGGCATGCAGAGAAAGTCAAAATTTAACGATGCTAAATATGTATTTCATGTATAAAATAATCAAATAGACATTAAAGTCTCTTTCATTCTACTTGTTTATCGAAAATGTATTCATACTTGGCTTCAAGTTGAAATAAAGCTATTATATATTTATGTAAATAATTTAATAAGGCTATAATAACAACTAATTATAATTTTTCTCATACTAAGATTTTTGTTTTCTTATTAACGTTATTATAATATAGCTGTGTGATTTTAAATCATTGGTTTAAAATTCTATTATAATACTTGCGTTATTTTTGAACATATGAATAGGAAATATACATACATATCTAAAATAATCGTCTAAAAGTTTGAATTTATTAAGCAAAAACTTTTTATTGAAACTAAATAACAAATATATTTATTGACTAGTTTTTTCAAGATATTTTTCAATAATTAATATTTTAATAGTAAATACTAATTTAGTATTCAATTTTTTTTTAATTTAAAAGTGTAAAAATAATTAGAAAATGTATTAATATTTATTAAAATAATTGAAAAATATAAAACTTTAAAAATAATTATAAATTGACTATACAATTTATAATTATGTATGTCTACGATTAGTATATAACTCTTTAACATAAAATATTAATTTTTTATTCGGAAACTTTTTTTTTTTTTTTGTACAAACTTAAATGTCTATATCACTATATGTTCCGCATAATATATTTATTAATATTAAAATAAATTTAATTATCAAGTATCCTCAATATTTATTATTAGTGCAAAAAGTGCTTGCAACAGTCATATAGTAATGTATCGTACAAGGAATTGAAACAAAAATTCCGAAAAGTTATTCGAACTTAAATATCACAGTAACTTATGTTCCAGTTTAAATTAATGAAACTGCTTATCTAATACTAATTAGTCAACGGTGTATGGTAATTTGTGTGCAAGATATCTTTAAATGAATTGAGACTTTTTATTATTCCTTAGCACAATGTGCAACTTTACACAGCAATTACAATATAAACTTATAAAAAAATAAGGTGTTTTTTTTCTTCAAGCGTATAAAAAGGAAAGAAAACTTTGTAACAGATTAAATAATAAATAAATAATTTTATTATAACTTATTATATCTTATTGCTGCACTTTTAGCTTCAAAAAGCTTTCAAGTCCGTTTTGAGAACTTAGCTTTGTCACACAGTCTATTTCTATACGTGTTTCCAATCCTTATAAGATCTTTCAATAATACATGGTTCACAGGTAGCCTTTCATTCATATATTCACTCGATAAATTTTAAAAACTTGCATTACACGCACGTAATACTTAATAAAAATGTAAAAGACGCAACAATACGTATTTAATGCTCTTTCCTTCATTGAATTTCTAAATATTTAGTCTAAAGACATATAATTTATATTGAATAATAATCTAATCAGTGTATTAATAATAATTATAAAACTTCAATAATGGTGTATGGGTTCAAGTATGATTGTTTAAAATATAAATAAAAGGATTTTTGGAATATAATTTTTCCCAAATTTTATTAAATTTTTGTTTTAGGTAGTTTTGTGCACTAAAAATTTTCGAAATAAATATTTAAAATTATTATAACAACTCAAATAAAATGTAAATACTGTGCTTTTATCAAATTTACATTTTTCGTCTACGAAGAAAAATTAATACGACAGTTAGTCATGCGAGAACCTTGTGAGGTTTGAAATTCCCGTTGTACCATGCATGCATTTACTTTATGGTTAAACGTTACTATCAAATTCCGCATTCATTTATGGTCGGAATTAGCATTCACGATGAACAAACTCACTGTGTAGGTACAACGGCGACAATAAGCCTTTGTATGCGTTCACAGCTACCTATATTGTCTCCTTCTAGAGTATATTCCACTCTTATAACTCGGATGTAATTTCAAATTCGAGACTTATTGTACAAAATACCAAAGCACCTGCCAATAAATATAATGTAACAAAACAAATTTTTACTGTTATAAGAATTAAATTTCATTGAGTTTCAAAATTTATATTTTTGAACAAATAAGTAATATGAAATTAAGTAATTTTAGCTTTTTATAATAAAGTCTTTGCGGTTGAAATCGCGTAAAAGATAATTTAATAAATATTATAATACAAGTTTCATAATTTATATAATCTAAAACGTTCATTTTTAAAATTTGAATTTACTTTTACGCATTTTATCCCCTTTTTAACCAATGTAATAATAAATTTTTAATAAAAATTCAACTAATTATACATTCGTCAATAAAATAGTAAATTTTCTATAAATGATATACATTATAAATAAATAACAATGGATTATACGATTGTCAAAACTTTTCATCAATTGTCATCTTAATAACCTTTATTTTTTCATCGTCGTAATCAATTCTGTAAAAGTTTTTACAACATCGATATTATTTTTATTCTATTTTATTTTATTTTATTGTTTAAATTAATACACGATATGATTATAAAAGAATAAAAGATTGAATATATTAACTTTATGCAGGACCTAGTTTTAATAACTCAATTAGAAAATCGTTAGTCTAATATTATTTTTCTTGGTATTCAAATGAATGAAAGAATATTTATATATTTTTAATTTATTACTATTAAGAACTAGTTAATTTTTCATAATAATATTCCATTTATTATACAATTTATCATACATTTCCTCATGTAGTTAAAAAATTAAATGTATTAAACAATGTTCTTTTATTATTAATAGTGAAAAACATATGATAATAAACTTTTAATTAGCTTAAGATATGAAAAAAGAAGTTTTAAGTTATGGAACTCTTGATACAATTAATCTTAATTATTTCTTTTATTATATCCGTATTATACTTTATACAGTATTTATAAAATAACTTTATTTTATATCTTTTTTTACTAATTTACTTAAGAGTTTCAAAAATAAAATAAAAGAATAAAAAAAGTAGTTCTAATTTAGAAATATTTAAATTATATTTATTTGACATAAACCTTCAGAAATTAGTACTGTAACAATTCTATACGATCAATTTTGATATAAAATATAATTTTCATGAAATATATTTTATAAATTATGTCCAACTTGTAAGTTGATGTTTGAATGTTGATAATACATTTTTATATGAAATGCTATAAACAGTAAAATTTAATTTATTGTAAAGAGTATAAAAGCATACATATTATTTATTCAGTTAACACAATATAATTAATGGGAAGTGGAGTAAATGTTCAATTTAAAAAGTGTTATCAGATACATTTACAAAAAAAATGATAAACATAGCAGTACAATAAAGTTTGCTCGACTGCTACAAGATTTTATATTTGAGGAAAGAATAATTACACGAGCGTTTGGTTTACGTAAAATAGTATAATTTAAATTAATAATAAATCCTATCAAGATAATGAGGGTATAAAAAGGAGAATCTCGAATTGTAATTGATTAAGAATCAAGAACTCGTTGAATTCATCATGCTTAATTACAGTTTGATCTTTTGTGTAATCTTCGGATTCATCGCTTTAGTTTATTCACAAGAAATTGTTGTACGTATATGAATTTGTTACAACCAATGGCTCTATATTATACGTTAATTTGTCATTTTTATAAATATTTAATATGCAATATTGTATTGCTTTGAAAATTGCTACTCTCAAACAATATATAAAAGTATGTCGTCTGTCAGTTTACAATTGCTAATTCATTTATAAGAATAAAATAGTTGATAATAAAACATATTTTTACAATAAAATGCTTAAACATTCAATGAATTTCGAAGTTCTATTTTATATTTATTATTACATTTTTACTCGTAAGATTTTTGTAACTATTGTATAGATTAATTTCAATTATTTTATAGATTCTTAAGTGTCTGTAATAAGGAAACGAGTGGTAACACATCAGTACCACATATATTTAGAATTTTAACACAAATTTGGATTTCGTCAAAAATTGATCGTTTATTTAAATTATTAACCAGTATTATCAGTTATTAATAGTTTAAACTCTTAATTTAACATAATTCGGGTAAAAATTCTGGTATAATTTATTTTTACAATCTCTAGATTCATGATCCAGTATGTATAGTTAAGGCTCACGCAAAATGTGATAAAAGACCACCTGACCCGGTTTTTAACGCCTGTATGGTATGCCATCTATAATTGAAGTAGTATTTTCAAGTTTCATATATGCTACCGAATTTAAATGTATATTATTATTTTCAGTCCAAATACTATTCAGACCACAAATGTCAATGAGCAAAAATGATTAAATTATTATCACTGAAATTAAAAAAAAAAAATTATTGATTTTAATATTGCAGTTATGTATAAACACATGAAATAAAATTATTTGTAATAAAATTTGAAATACGTATTTTTAAATTTAAACCTTCCTTAATTTAATTTACCTGTATGTTTTTATATAATTATGTTTTAATAGAGTATATTTTTTTAAGTAATAATTTTTATTTTAAACTTATTTGCATGATATATTTTTTTCTGGTATTCCATCTGCTGTATATGAAATAAAGTATATTTTGTTATAAAAATATTTATTTATATGTATATAACAAAATAAATATTAATAAATGTTTAGGATAATTAAAAGTCATTTTTTTAAATTAATTTAATGTCAATGTGATGAATTATTTTTCATAATAATTAACTTTTTTATATATTATGTTTATATACACAAAAATAAATTATTACATAATTTTAAGAACATCTTAAAACGCATTTATACATACGGCTATAGCTATACATATGCTGCATGATTTAGATAAAAATTAATACATAAATATATTATTGTAAACAAAATGAAAAAGTCTGAAGACTTTAATGAACAAATTATGACAAGTGTAAAACTTTGAATTGTACTTATAAGTTCTGTATTGGTTTAAACAAAAAATATATGTACAATTATAAATTAATGTGCCGATATTATTTTAGCTTTATAAGCCTTTAACAGAATTCTTCTTTAATAATGAACAATTTAAAATGTTAATAATTTTAATAATAGATATTTTACATATTTTAAGAAAATTGTAATATCTCTCTCTAAAAAAAATTTGTATAAAATTTTAAAAGTATATGTATTTTTATTTATATTTATTTATATTTATATATTTTATATTTATGTATAAATAGATTTATTGACATGGAAATAATTGTAACAAGACCATACGAATGAGTAGGCAGACATTCATGTTGTTAGAAATTATATTTCACAAAAGCCTCCGTGTCATGTATAAATTATATTCATAATTCATAATATACAAAATTATAATACAGCATTTTTATAATAAATTTTAAGAGCAAAGCAGATTAATCTAAAAGTATTGTAAAGTTATACAAAATAAAATCAACAATATTGTATAAAGTATTGAATCTATCTTGATTTGAAATCCTATTATTGGTTACAATTTAAATTCTGATCCAAAAATCGTATAATAAAATAGACTCTTAGCACTCTGCTTGGAAATTGCCAAGTTTGTCGAAGATATAACTTTTACATATTATTACAAATACGTTTAAAAGATAATTTTGGTTGGTTTAGGTGTAGGCAACATACGTTTAATACCGATCATAAATTAGATTTCAATATGTTTAATTAAATTTACAGCATATTTATTACTGTTATTGTAATTTTTTAAATATATAATTAATTAATACAACTATTTATAAATTAGTATATTATAATTATTAAACTATAATATACTAATTTAAATTTTATACCATAGAATATTATTGAATTTGACTCTTATAAAAATATGTGTGCACACTTGCATGTATACATGCAATGATATATAATTGATATTGAGTAAACTGAATTTGCATTACGCAATATGAATTTCTACACAATAACTCAGCTACATAATTAAAGTTTTTCATTCTATAGAATAACATTTAATATTTATGTAATTAATTTTGAATTATTATTTTAGTAACGGCAAATCATCCACCGCAAAGACCGTGGATTCCATTAACTAGGCCAAACAGATCGAGACCAACATGTAAGTAAAATATGAAAATAAAAATTTTTTGTGCTTAATTAAAAAATATATTTCTTAGCAAAAGCATTACATAACGAATACCGCCTTAAATATCAATATTTCATTGAAAACTTTCATATTTAAACATATGTAGATTCATATACACATTTGCATCTTTTTTTCCCTGCCCCTATAATATTGAATCTATCGTATATAAATTTGTATTTCTTATTATTGGCTACCAACCACTTTTATTAGAGAAAAGTAATCATACCAGTAATTTAAAAATAATAAATTTGTATCTTTTTCATTTCCTAATACTTGCATTTTATAAATTCTTCTATAATGAAGATGCTTTATTATTTTTTAATGAGAAGAAAGATTTCACAAATACACAATACTTACTATCAATTAAAATATCAATTAAAAGGTATATCTTTTATAATGCTAATTCCAAAGAATGTTTAAACAAGGAGAGCTTATATCAAATTATTGGTCGAAATCAAATTTTAAATTCCTACTGCAAGAAAATTTAAATCAATGAAACGTACATTTCTTATTATGGATTTTTCGAATTTTTGTTCAAATAGAAATATATAATTTACAATCTCTGAAATATTTTATGAACTATATAATCTAATAATTATTCCAAAATGTCTATAGCAATCTCTAAATATGTATTATGTTGTGTATAAAATGTATGAGCATCTATTACATTAGGCTAATTCTCTTTAGGTCCTCCTTAGTTTTTAAGGTACATGAATATCTACTTCTACTCTTATTTCTATCTACTTCTTGTACTTTTACTTTTAATTAAAACTCGTTACAATTACGAACAAATATAAAAACGATAAATGATAAATATATCAATAAATTAATATGTTTAAAATAATGTTAAATTGCACTTTCGACCTAATAATTTATATTTAGAATATGATAATACCAAATTGTATCCTTCAATCTAAGCTTAGGTCAATAAATGTTTTAAAATGAGTAGATTATTTTGAGGTAAGATGAGGGTAGTGTGCGGAACTGATAGATTTAATACAAAAATCACTATTCTATTTTCTATATTTTCAAAAAAGTTTTTCTCAATATTAAGAAATTATATATAAATTTCTTTTAGAATAATATTCAATTCTTTAAATAGACAATTAAAGCAAATTAAAGAAAATTAATCAAATTTTGAAAAATTTTTTAAAACTTTTTTTAATTATAATTTTTAATTATTTAAATTGAAAATATACAATCGCTACAAATTCTTTCTACATATCTCTCGTTCTAAATAATTATCATACTATGTATTAAAATACATACGATGTATTATATTATTTTTTAATCTGACATCGGTAATAAATCTAATCTTTCTATTTTTCTATATTTTTTTGTGAAAGATAATGTTTGATTGAATATTATTAATTGTAGTGAAATAACATTTGTACTATTCTATATTGATAACATTATTATTTATAACATCAACATTAAACATACTTAATGATGATCGAAAACTTATAAAACAAATTTCAGACTATAATAATAAGTTCTAAAAAAAAATTTAGAATTGTACTTTGCATAATAATTCATATATAATGATATTTGCTTTACATAAACGATTGATTTTATATCAAATTAGAAGACAGAATACATTTGAATTTTTATAGAATATTTTATTATTTCTTGTAAGTGTTGTGATAACATGTTTGGATTATTATTATATTTTAGATTGTGTTATTCCGTTTCAAAGTATTTTGTTATTGAATCAATTAAATTGTCCGATGATATATATATATATATATATATATATATATAGTGTGATAATTTATTATATCTTAAGATATATTACAAATGCATGTTTAATTTTTCTGATTAACAGGTATATTTACTGTGATGTGTTATAATGTGCTGAGTGACAAATACGCGACAAGACAGATGTATGGCTATTGCCCAAGTTGGGCCCTAGAGTGGGAATATCGTAAAAAGGGCATACTTGATGAAATCAGGCATTACGCGGCAGACATAATCAGTCTGCAAGAGGTTGAGACGGACCAATTTTACAATTTCTTCCTTCCAGAGCTCAAAATGGATGGTTATGATGGTATATTTTCACCAAAATCGCGAGCTAAAACAATGGCTGAAAATGATCGAAAATACGTTGATGGTTGTGCTATATTCTACAGAACTGCTAAGTGAGTTTATTTTCATTAAGTTTAAAATTAAATTACTAATGTTACTCGTTGAATTACAGTGTTAAGGTCTATCTAAATATTTTGCATTAATTGAAACTCATTAGAATTTTCTATTCATTATTTCATCTATTATATAAATATTATATATTTTATCAATTATATTCTAACTATTATAGCAATACATTCGTACATGAATAAATTTTAACATTATACGGTGCATAAATCGCTTGTTACACAGATTCACATTGATAAAGGAACACCTAGTAGAATTTAATCAACTGGCAATGGCAAATGCGGAGGGCTCCGATAACATGCTAAACAGAGTCATGCCGAAGGATAACATCGGGCTCGCAGCCTTACTTAGGACAAAGGAAGCAGCCTGGGACAATGGTACAATCATGAAATAGTAGTAACTGATTTTATAGCTTCTAAAATTTATCATATAATCCCGTTGTTTGCTGGATTTTCGTTTAAAATTATTTTTAATCAAATGAAAAACAATATCGGTCACTTGAATATGCTTTCTTAAAAAATATTCATGATCAAGCAATCTTGATTGGTCAATGCAAATACATTTTTATACGAACAGAGAATGACGTAAATTAAATAATTTACAATATAATTCAAATTGAAGTACTTTATTTTTATGCACTGAATCTTTTGAGTTTTATAAATATCACAATTATAATTATTAATATGTAAAAACTTATAGCATATTTATAAATTAAAATATAAAACAAAATAATACTGGATAATTTTGGAACATTGACCTTATATCATATTCGAAAGCTTATTAATATTATTAAATTAATTTACCCGAGTCACGAATTGTACAGATGAATAAAGAAAATTCTAATTTTAAAGTTAGATTTTGAAATTAAGTTTCTAAATTATAAAAATTTGGTATAAACGTACGACTTAATATATTAAATGATTATAGAAGTTTCATTTTCTTAACTCCTATAATTTGAAGTTTATAATTTGACAAAAAATCACCGACCGAAGTGTCATATTAAAATGTATTTATTACTTAACCTTTTATGATAATCATAAGCTTATACAATTTTTAAATATTTACTAATCATTTCTTTAGAATAATATTATGTGCATATCGCTAATTATTTAAATTAAAAATATGCTTAAAAAATTTTTATCCAAACATTTATGAAAAAATACTAAGAAAGATTAAAATAGTTTAACATACCTATTAAATTATTTTGTAAGAAAAAAATTAGGGAATGTAAATGAATATTGAATTTTTTAGATTAAGCTCCTACTTTTATAAATATTAACAAAAAAAACTGGAATAATTTGCAAAAATGGTAAAAGTGAATATAATAATAAATAACAAATATATTAAAATAATAAGAAAGTAAATATTTTATTCAATGCGCCAAAATATTTGAAAACTAGAATAAAAAATCATGGCTAATGAAATAAAAGATATTATAGGAACATTACATTGTTGAAAAAATATGTAATCCGAGAAAGATTTGAATAGTTTTTATAGGAATTTAGCTTTGGTTAATCGTTATCAATCATTATGCGAGTTAGATTGTCATTTTGTCTAGTGTTCCGAAATTTTTACTACCCGATATCTTGCAAATATTTTAAATATATTATACATTGTAATTGAATGTATGCAGTAATTTTATTGTATTAAAATATGGAACTCGCATACTTTACTTATTTAGATGCAAGTTCTTGGCATAATTTATGTTGGTAAACTTAGTAATGTAAGGAAGAATGTATGTAGGAACAGTAAATATAGTGTAAACAAATATGCCAAAATGATGAAAAGAAAAAAAATATAAAAGGTGACGTAATAATACTAGAAATGTGACGAGCTATGGAATGAGATATTAAATAAATACTTTCGAAGTTTGTTTCAAAAGTTAAATGAAATTTATTTAGATGTTTGTATTTAATCTAACTCAACTAAAGTAACATTTAATAATTAAATTTATTAATATCATTCTATTGAGTTTATAAATATTACAATGAGAATATATATAATATATGTATATATATATAATGTGTATAATATGTATAATGTGAAATAAATATATAAAAGTGAACGATAGCAAGTTCCTAAAAAAAAATACAAATTTTTTCGATAAAAGGATTGCCTTCGGATCCAGTTCAAGTACAACAACCAATTTTTGTTTGCACGGCACATCTACATTGGGATCCTGAATTCTGCGATGTGAAATTAATTCAAACAATGATGCTAAGCAATGAACTAAAATCTATTCTAGATCAAGTTGGCCAGTCATTTAGGCCCGGACACAAGTCCGACTCTTCCAATGTACAATTACTACTTTGTGGCGACTTCAATTCTTTGCCTGATTCTGGTAACTTTTATACTAATATTGCACTTTCTATTGTATTGTAAAGTTCGAAATATAGATTTTTATGCTTTAAACATACATGCTAAACAAAATACTATTGTCATTTTATTTTTATATTTTTATTATTCATTTACGACTATGACATACTTTATAGAAGAAAACGATAATAATGTTTTTTAAACAGGCGTGATTGAATTTTTAACTTCGGGAAGAGTAGCAGCAGATCATCGTGATTTTAAAGATTTAGCTTACAAATCATCCTTACAAAAGATTTCCGGTTGTGATAAAGCCAATGAATTTACTCATTCTTTTAAACTTGCATCAGCCTACAGCGAAGACATCATGCCATATACCAACTATACGTAAGTTATTTAACTTTATTTTTTGTTTACTATTCTCTATTTAAATATGTTACAAAGCTTTGAATATCGATAATATAAATATTTCAGCTTGTACAAAATTGAAAACCGTATGAATTCATATGTTTAATCTACAATTGCCAAATATCTTAGTAGATTAATTGATATTATTTCACTATATTTTATTATTTAATGTATTTAAATACATAAGATATTATTTTGGTTTTCAGATTTGAATTCAAAGGTATAATAGACTACATTTTTTATTCTAAACAAAGCATGGTACCTTTGGGATTATTAGGCCCGCTGAGTGCAGATTGGTTTAGAGAGCATAAAGTTGTTGGCTGTCCCCATCCTCATGTACCATCTGGTAAATTATAAGAATTACTTCTCGTTTGTATAATCATTTGCATGTTTCAATAATAAAAATTTAAAGTCCACAACTATTCATTATAAGTTTATTTATACTGAAATTAATATTCAATTCATATCATTTATATATAAAGCATTTAGATTTAGAATAAAAAATAAAAAATAAAAATTTTGTTAATGTCATAATAATGCATAGATATAGCTTGTATGTATAAATTGAATAAAGGTAAACTTTTATATCTATTATATATGCATAATATATACTTACATAATATTTATTATTTACAGACCACTTTCCATTGTTGGTAGAGTTAGAGATGACACCGACTGTAGGTACAAGCAACGGCTTAATTCCTCGTAGGTAGCAGCTGTTGCGACCTAGGCCCAAATAATACGAAATAATGATTAATGCGACAACACCAGAATCGAAAGGAATAATTTTTAATGATCGGAAGCGTTTAAACTGTCAGAAAGGGTAATAATGTGAATGACCTTGATTATAATGCGAAACTAATGGTAGGGAAATGAACGAAATAAAGTGGAAAGCAGCATAAAAAATAGTTAATTATGTACACAAATCTGCAGCGGGCGCCATCATTATACGGCCGAAACCAAGAAAATATAAAGAAGCAAAAACAGCGGGAAAGACACGAAATACTACACAAGAATATTATAATGACGTCGCTCTTTCTTTTTACATTCTTAGATTATAGCAATATTACTATTCGTATTTGACTGTACACGGATAAAAATTTATATAAATACATTAGGTGTAAACGATAAATGTAAGAAAAATAATGACAAGCATGAAATACGCGATTGAGCGAGCGAGCGCGCGCATATATATAAAGAGAGAGAGAGAGAGAGAGAGAGAGCGAGTGTGAATGTAGGGTGGAAAAAGAGTGGAGAAAAAATTTGAGTATGGGAGGAAAAGGTGAAAGAAAGTAGCATAAATATATAAACATACGTAGTCGCAATCATACACGCGTGTAAGCCCATAAACAAAAAGTCGGAAAAACTGACGAATGCATCTTCAAAAACTCTTTCAATTACGAAGATAATGCTAAATAATCGCGATGAAAAATACATAGAAGACTATGCAAAACAAATTATCTTAGAAAAGAAAACTATCCAGCCGTGCGAGTCTCTTAGAATAAGAAGTTCAGAACAGTAATGAAAAAGAGTTAAGAATTATGCGTCGTAACGCTCTGCTTAACCCATGTATAGTATATTGCATTTTAGTGAGAGAAAACAAAAGCGATGTAAAGTAAGTAGAGAAAAAACTAAACCAGAGATCTCTGTACATTCTTAATGCAACTTGAAAATAAATGCTTTTTTCTCTCGGAAATAAAAAGAAGAGGAGTATTAAAAGCATCTGTATTGTTACATCCAAAATAATAATTGTAGATAAACAGCTATTTTCCTACGAGTTCAATGATGGAGATGAATTAATAAATAATACTGAAAAAAAATTTTACTGAGTGAAAGAGAAACATGAGTACAGCCGACGGATGGAGAGAGAAAGTGTGCAAGAGAGAGAGAGAGAGAGAGAGAGAGAGAGATTCCGAAACATATGTGATATATTAACGCATCTAATGAGTCAGATGCGTAGTATTGTGAAGTCCTCTTTTCTTCTGTCTATCGGCAGGACCTGTGGATCAAAAAAAAAAAAAAAAATCTTACGAGAAAAGAAAAAATGCGTTGAAAGTAGCAACGTAATACAAAATCATACGAAATATCATAAAGACACACCGAAACAAAAATAATTAAAATAAGCGTTTACCACAAAAGCTCTAATTATAAAACTTAAAAGAAACAAGTATCCTAAAGAAAGAAAGTCCTCGAAACTAATTAGCAAAATTTGTGGATTTTTTTATAAGAACGCTGCCATCCAGTCGAGGTTAAAACATGTAAACAAAGCATAAATAAAAATGAAGTGCAAATTGTATTTTTCAAGGATAAATAAAAATTAAAAATATTAATAATACATCATATTAATGATACATGTTACACTGGGCTGTGCTAAGTGATTGGAGTTAACTTAAACAATTTCAATGCAAGTACAAATCTGTTCTTATTGGCCACGTATATATCGTATAAACAATAATGTTCTGCATAAGACGTTAGATGATATTGTAGAAAAACTATAACTTATAAGTACTGTTATTATATTGTCTAAATAATGTATCGATTTTAAATACGTCATAGAACCTCTTCGATACTTCTACCCGGCGTTCTGCAAAATTTTTCAGATAAATCAATATTCTATTTCGACATATTCCATTTATATTATTGTATACATGTACACCAATTCGCAACTTCAACCATCATATTTTATCCCATGCACGTTTTTAGATTTCGCATTTCTTTTCCCGGTATTTTAAACATTTAGTTGTCCGAAGTGCAATCACTACTTTAGAGAAAGTACTTGTAAAATAGTTGGAGATATTTCTAAAAGTCTTTAGAAACGAATTGAAAAAGTTTTTGCAATAGGGAAAAAGTATTTTAAGCTTGCTTCTATAATAGAATATTTAATTACACAATTTGAGACTTTTAGATATGTATTTATGTACAATAAAATAAGATTTAACTTATGTATATATTACTTTTTCCAGGTCTATAGTTTATTATATATATTTTTATTCTCTATACATTTTTATACCATTTTAAGTCTTTATAATGAAAATCTATTATTAGTGAGTAGTTTATAAATTACAAATATTCATTAATTTTTGCGTAATCGATAATAATTGATTTTCTCATTTGATTTTTTCATAAAATTTTTTCTAACTACAAAATTGCTATTTGTAATACTCCGACTATTTCTTTTATACTTTCTTAAGTAAGAAAATACATCACTATAGTATTTTGATTGAATAATTTGTAAGCATTTTCTCAAGAATTACTGAAAACCTGTAATGTAGAATTAGCACAACATTAATCTGTCATACTGTAAAAGTTACAATATATCAATGTAAATTGTAATTATTTACCTTACATTAAATTATGTTCAATTTTATACAAAATTAAAAATATAAAAGTTTGTATCCATTTGATTTTCTGACGAAACAAATTCATACACTATTTTACATTCTTTTATTTTTTTAATTTCAATTGGTTTAGATAATACTAAGATTTTTCGAAGGAAATAAACATCAATTTGATTTTTAAGACCCGATGCTTACAAAATATAAATATACATACACATTCATTGGCATGTCCCGATATATTTTTTTATCGAGTTTGAACGATTACAGTGTATGTAAAATTAATTGCCATGACATCCATTGCATACATTCTCCAATACTTTGTATGGATTTTTATACGTCTACAATACATATTTATATTCGCGCAAGTATACGCACGCACATACAGGTAACGACACGAAAATTAACAAATTTTTGCCATTTTGTCTTTTAAAAGACAAAAATTAAATTGATGAAAGTTATATTATGTGACAACTAATTAGTAAGATTCAATTCAATCACATAGGAAAAATTAAATATAGTAATATAGTATTTAAATAGAATTCGTTCAAATATAAATATCAAATTGTAATCGTAGCATCAATCAGTAAATATTTATCAATTAATTCTATATTTTTTAATCATGTTTCGTAATTATTGATGTAAGTAGATGACATTAGAATAAATTAAAATTAAAATTTTAAGTATATAAGCATCTAGTAAGCTAATGTTTAATTTTACATTTGTTAATTGCAATAAAAAATAATGACAGATTATTATTTATTCGATAATATTAAAAAAGCATCATTGTCACTATTTGTGGAACTTAATTATTTTGTTACATAATATTGATTTTCACAATCCACTTTTTTAAAGGCATCTCATTTTTTTCGTGCTCTTACTAGAAAACGCTTTATTCCTCTCCTTATTCCAAAATTTCGAACTGGACAACACAAGAAGAAAAAAAAGAGACAGACTGACTTTAATTCTTAGTATTTATTTCCATTTAATGTTTATATAAATAAAAATGATAACAAATGTAATAAAGAATTGAAGACTTTTGTACTGCTTGAAATATTTCTCTCATTCACTACTTACTGTCTTATTCTTAACTCATTATTTGTAGCTGTCGTACCATTCTAGAAATTAGAAAATAAATAGTAATTGAATACATAAGCGCAAAATCATAATTCTGATAGTAAGAAAAGAATTTCAAGTTAGCAACGAAAATAAAATAATTCACATATATCGTAATTGAGGTCGAACGAACAATTTTAAAGCAGTAATAGGATATTGAAATGTATCGGAGCTTTCATTGCTTATTGATATTATTAAGTCTATTTTGCAAACGTTTGGATCGGAAAAAGTTCAAAGAATATATGGAAAATATATTTATGAATAAAAATATGAGTGATGACAAACAGAAAGAGAGTGTGCGTGTAAGAGAGAGAGAGAGAGAGAGAGAGAGAGAGAGAGAGAAAGAGAGAATGAATAAAAGAATATGCACAGAAACAACAGCTATAAATAAGTGATGATAATTATTTATTTAAGAAAAACAAAATAGAAGCAGCATAATTATATTATGTAGTAAAAATAATCACCATTGAGTAATACACGATTAGCCATTTGAGAAAAAAGAGTATACTTACTATACGTACGTCCTGTCGCTCTACATCGATGATACACGTTTTCCTTGTGTCGATCCAATTGCTAAATAAATCATTATAATGTGTTCGCAACAACGTCACAGGGCCTAAAAGAGTTATATTTTTATTTTCTTTTTTGAAAAATGTACATCTATATGTATAGACCAAGTATATCGATTTAGAATTCCAAGATTTATGGGCTTATTCAAATGAAAAATATGGTATTTTCTTTATTGCAATGCCGTTGTTTTGTATAAACTCGAAATAACACATTAGAAGTATTATATCGTAATTGAAAATTTTTTCCTTATTTTATTTAGAATTCAAGTTTTTGTAAATTGAAATCAAATGTTCGATTTAGGTTGAATTGCATTGAATGTAATATTAAATTGAATGAATGAGCTTTAATTTTTTCCACCTCATTATTTTATAAAACTAACGTATTTATCATCTTTTGTATGAATTCGTGTAAGTACATCGATTAAAAGATTTAAATATGTTTAAATACGATTTCATTTGCAAGTCGTTGGTCTATAACCATATTTACGATTGCGTTATTTTTAAGAATTTTTAAGAATATATATATATATATACATACATACATATATATATATTTTTTTTATTTTAACATTTTTTGTATCGACAATAACAGTATTTGAATGCAATAGTTGAATTTGAGGTACTAACTTGAATTGATATATCTTCATTCGTGAACAAATAAATATTTGTGATAGAGCTGGATTACTTATTCAATTGATAATTCACTGGATACATGATAATAGAAGTATAGGAACAATTTTTTTTTAATGCTGTGCATGAATGTCAATATTACTCATAAATCCTAAACATCATAAACTTTACTATGTACATTAATCAAACTTTTAATGAATAATTACAATATTTTATTCTACCTATATAAATGAAATTTAATGTAATATAAAATTATACATAACTATCAGATCAAAACTTGAAAACCATGTAGCGGTTAAGTAAAGTAACAGCGCAATTTTACAAATAATAATATTCTTTAATAATTTATTTGATAAGCTGATCAATAATTATTCTAGACACTTGTATAATTAATTAAAAGAATTGTCAAAGTAAATGTTTCACCGATAAAATATTTAATGTTTGAAAATCTAATATTATTTAATTTCTGTTATAATACGTAAATAATTAAACCAATTCTTATAATG